CAGACACAGATCTAATGAAAGATGGAAGAGTGTAGAGAAGGAATAAATGAAGGTAAAATAAAATAGTGTTCGGTTTTTATTTTTCTTCTTCTTAACCCATCTAACAGATTCACTTTGTTCAAAATAATAACTGTAAAAATACCTTTGGCGATAACAGTTCGTTGATCAGTGAAATGTAGGAGAGCCGTTTTATAAGGGATGGGAGGGAGGAAGTCAGGAGACTCTGTTACAAGGGACCTGCACTAACCATGAAGAAACACAGTATCATTTCAAAGTGAACTGAGGTTAGTTGTAAATTTATATTACAACTATATATAAGCTCTAGGGAAAACATTTAAAAACTTTAAAAGAAGTATACTTGATACGCTAAAAGAAAAAATGGGATCGTACAAAATGCTTAATAAAAACGAGAGAAGGCAAAAAATAATTTAAAAAGTAGAGGTACGTAAAAAGAAAGAACAAGGACAATGGATAGAAAACAGTTACAAATATGGTGGATATTAATCCAACTATATCAATCATCACTTTAAACAGGAATGGTCTAAATACAGCCATTAAGAGACAGAGACCAGCAGAACGGATTCAAAAAATAAGACCCAACCATATGCTGTCTACAAGAAACCCACTTTGATTATAATGACACAGAGAGGTTAGAAGCAAAGGGACAGAACAAGATAAGCCAGGCTAACACACATCCAAAGAAAGCTAGAGGAGCTGTATTAATTTCAGACAAAGCTGACTTCAGAACAAGGAAAATTCTCTGGGACAAAGAAAAGTATTCCATAATGTTAAGGGGTCAATTCTCCAAGAAGACATAACAGTCCTCAACATACATGCATCTAACAGAGGAACATCAAAACATGTAAGGAAAAATTGATAAAACTGCACGGAGACATAGACAAATCCACTATCATAGTGGACAGACACAGAAATAGACAAATCCACCACTACAGCAGGAAACACTGCTCTCTCAGGAACTGATAGATGCAGCAGGAGAAAACCAGTAAGGAATAGTGTCACCATCAACTGGATCTGATTAACGTTTATAAAACACTGCATCCAGCAAAGAATATACAGTCTTCAAAAGATCACACCCAACATTCACCAGATACACCACATCCTGGCTAAAAAAATCCCACACCTCAGCAAATTTAAAACAATAGAAATCATATGAAGTATGTTCTCAGACCAAAAAGGACTTTAAAGTAGGAAACAAAAACAGACAGATAGCTGGAAAATCCCAAAATATTTGCAGATTAAAGAACACATGGATCAAAAAAAGAAGTCTCAAGACAAATTTCAAATATTTTCCACTAAATGAAAATGAATATACAACTTATCAAAATGTGTGGAATGCAGTGAAAGCAGTACTCGGGGGAATTTATAGCATTGAATGCACATAGAGAAAAAAAGAAAGATCTGACACAATAATCCAAACTATAAGAAAAAGAAGAAAGTAAGCCTAAAGCAAACAGAAGAAAGGAAATAATAAAAATTACAGCAGAAATTAAGGACTCTGAAAATGGGAAATCAAGAGAAATCAATAAAAACAAAACCAGTTCTTTGAAAAGATCAAAAGCATGGATAAACCTCTAGCCAGGCTAACTGAAAACAAAAAGAGAGAGAAGCACAAATTACTAATATCAGAAATGAGAGAGGGGCTATGATTACTGATCCCATGAACATTAAAAGATACTAAATATTTGAACAGAGGAATGATATCTTCCCTGATGAGTTCTGTTGGATCTAGAGCAAATCTCCAAATGAACTCATTCAAATCTTCCCACAACCTTTTCACGTTTGCCTTTTAATTTATATATAAGCAAAATATTGACGGGACATGATTTAATGTCTAAATGATTTCCAATTAGTAAGACTCTCTTGTGCATAAATTAGACATCACTCAAATGCAAAACTGTCAGGATTCAACGGACACCATTAAGAATGTGAAAAGACAATCCACAACATAGAGAAAAATTTGCAACTCATACACCTGATAAGAAGTATATCTAGAATATATAAAGAACTGTTACAACTCAGTTATAAAAAGACAAGCAATGCAATTTAAAAATGGGCCAATGAGCTGAACAGACATTTCTCCAAAGAAGGTATACAAATGGCCATTGAGCACATGAAAAGATGTCAACATCATTAGCCACCAGAGAAATACCAATCAAACCCCAGCGAGATATCATTTCACACCCATAGGACGGCTATATCGGAAAGACAGATGGTAAGTGTTGGTGAGGATGTGAGGAAACTGGACCCCTCACACTCCACTGGCAGGAATGTAAATGGTGCAGTCACTTTGGAAAAAATTCTTCCGGGTATTCAAATAGTGAAACAGAGTTACCATGTGACCCAGCAATCCCACTCCTAGGTATACACATAAAAGAAATGAAAACAGATGTCCACACAAAATCTCATACAGGAATGTTCACAACAGCAATATTCACAATAGCCAAAAAGTGGATACAACTCAAATGTCCCTCAACTGAGGAAAGGAGAAATACCCTGTGCTACAGCCACACAGTGGATATTATTCAGCATCAGAATCAATGAAGGGCTGACCCACGCCACAACATAGATGGACCCTGACACCACTATGCTGAGTGAAAGAAGCCAGACACAGAAGGTCACACATTGTATGATTCCATTGATATGGAATGTTCAAAATGGGCCAATCTATAGAAACAGAAAGTGAATTTGTGTGTGCCTAGGCCTTAGGGGTTAGGGGAAATGGGACTGTCTCCTAATGAGGAAGGTGTTTCTTTTGGAGGGATGATGGAAAGCTTCCAGAATCGACTGTGCTGATGTTGCACAATTCTGTGAATATACTAAAAAACACTGAATTGCACACCTTCAAGTGTGATTTGTATTGTATGTGAACTACATCTCACTAAAGCTGTGACGATGATTAACAGACTGCATTGTGCATTGTCAACACAGAAAGTAACCCCCAGAAGGAAGCAGAGAACCTTGTTCACTCACTTTAAAGGATCTGAACTAGGGCAACGAAAACCCAGAGGAATTCTGTTAGTTAACATTCTAGGTACCAGGACATCCTGAAATATTCATGAGGATTTCCATGTTTTAATTTGAAGGAAAAAAGCATCTAAGTTTTAAAAAAAACATATTCACAAGTGTCAAAAAGAATCATCATCACTCAGGGGGAGGGGAACACAGGGAAGTCATCAAATGGGAAAGAAGTGTAAGATTTGGGTCACAGGGATCTGCACCCTGAATATGAGAGTGGACCCACATTTATCACTGCTCCACCCCAAAGATGACCTCAGAAGTCAAACAGCCCAGTGAACATTATCTCTTTCAAAAGCATCAGTTTCTGGAAAACGAAAATATTAAGAAATAAATACTTTGCAATCATGAAGAATTGAATCTTCTAAATTCCCAGTTTTAAAACTAAAAACTTCTAGAGATTCCACATGATAGGCACTGAAGTGCTCTCCTCCTCGTGGCTGGAGTGGATTCCAGAAGTGACGGATGCCTTAAGGATAAAACTGGAAAGAATCCAACACTGTTTGTAAAAGGCTATGTGTTGACCCTGAATCTAATCCTAAACTCTGTATCAGAAAATAGACAGAAATGCAGATCAGCGCAACCAGCAGGCAAAGTAGCAAAGGATCATGAAAAATTCCACACTTTCCTAGTGATATTCTAGGGCACGTGTCTATTAAAATTCATCAGGCTGTGATGTACTTTTCACGAGTGATCAAAAACAAACACATTTGGATTTGTCACAAAGGTGTGTTCCTGTTTTTGACACAATCTTTGTCCCCCTTCAGTTCACGTGACCATCACCGACCACAGTACACTCCCCTGGGCGCACACCGCTCTCCAGGGCCAAGGTGCCTGAGGTGCTGGAGCCACAAAAGTCCCGGCTGCTTAGCCAGGTGACACCTCTAACCTCCGCCTCCTCCACTTCTGTCCTGGGCAGGTCAGGAGGACCCACCCCCACCCCAGCCTGGGGCTGTCATGACCCAGTCAAGGTTTCCTGACTTAGGGGGCCCAGGGTCACCAAGTATGAATACATAAAGAAGCTACCCTCTATATGCATTATGATCATGTCAAGGAACATTCTTGACACTAAAAAGGAAAGGTGAAATTTCCAGAATAAAGGACAGAGCTTCCCATGAAACAGCATTTGCGAAGCTTCCCCTGACGTGTGTGTGTACATAATACATAAATCACATTCACCCACACCTTTCTAAGGGGTTTCCTCCTCTCTAGACAGAGATGATGAGAAACCTGCTTCCCACGGGTGTGGTAGAATTAAGCACGGGGACAGTGTTGGATCCAGTCCCAGCACAGAGTAAGAGGGAAGAAGTGTCAGCCACCTGATTCTCACACACACGTCTCCTGCCCTTGATCTGCTCGCTGCCCTCCGTCTGGGAAGACTGTCACAGACCAGCCTGGAGCACAGCCTGGCCGCGGGAACCAGGCCTTGGAGAGGCCCGGGTGGGGACACCAGTCACCGGGCAGGGGCCCCACAGCTTCATTTATACAATGCAGCTCAGGTCCATCCTGCACACCCACCCGAGCACTGACCCACTTTATACCAAGCACACGCTGGGCGGCCACGGTCAGAGCAAAACAGCTCCTGCCCCCCAGGAACTTCGACCCAGTGAAAGGAGAATAGATGACATCCTCAAATAACCGGTGATCACTCATCTAGCACTTCTCATAGAGGTTAAATAGAAATATAAGAAGCATGGCATTTGAAGATAGTCAACAGGAATTGGAAAAAACCATAAAAATGAAATCCTCTAGCTAAATGAGCGTGGGGGAATGATTTGCTTGTGGAAATCTGGCAGGATGCTCGTGACCTGCGAAGGCTGCTGGCTGAGCGTGCAGTAGAGACAGTGGAACAGAACCATTCTGGGAGGGAACCAAGCACACTGGGGGGACACTCCACCAAGAGCGGGGGCTGTCATTACTGGTCCCCAAACGACCTATTATAGAATCTGACCATAACCAACATCTCCCCGCAGGGGTCATTTTATTCATGGACCCATGTGAGCACCATGTGCTTTGAGCTCTGGAACAGCAAGACGTCAACTGGCCCGCACATATCAGGACCCGGCCTTGGTCCTACTACCCTGCAGGTGACCCGGTGCCCACTAGCGAGCCTACCTTCATCTGCCCGAAGCCCATGGTGACGGCAGCAGCAGAGGTGAAACCTTTAATGGCTGACGGGGCAGGAGATGAAGTCCAGCAGGAACCCTGGCCGGCCAGAAGGAAATACCGAGGTGGTCACAGCTCTGCCCCGTCCCAGAGGACACAGGTGGATGTGGGCCGGGAGAGGGGGTGTGGGTGGGATTGGGGCTAAGGACTGGTGATGACACACCCTGTCTGGGCTGGTTGGGAGAGCAGGAAAGGGAGGCTAGAGTCTGAGGTCCTGGGCACTTCTCCAAGTGTCCTGGCCTCTAAGTAGAATAGGGTAGGGCTGAGGGCTGAGGGTACATCCCCCCCAACACACACACGTGCACACACACACACACACATGCGCACACACACACAGGGACAGCCCTTGGAAGGCAAAGAAGGAAACGCTGGGGGCAGGTGCAGCCCCAGGAGCAGGTGCCTCGGGTCCCCAGGAAGAGCAGAACCGCAGCCCCCACCACAGCAGGAAGGCCCGAGAGTCTTACCCAAGCGCAGGAGCCCATGGCTAACTGCATGCAGCCCCACAGGAAGGCCAGCAGCACAGCACAGGCGGGCTCACGGAAGGTGCAGAAGGAGACCAGGAGGGACATGATGGCCGTGGGGCCCAGAGTCACACCCCGGGAGGTGCCCAGGAAGAAATACACGAAGCACCCATGAAGGCAGAGTAGAGGCAGTACTGCTGGGGAGAGAGAGAGGGATGCGCACCCAGGAGGCAGGTGGCACGCCCACGGGGTCCCTGGTGTAGACGTCTGAGCACAGGGGTCTGTGTGTCCACTGGGTACTTTGGGCACACCTGCGCACACAGGCAGGGTAAACGCTCCCCCTCTACTATCCATGGGGGTGACCTGCAGGGATCAGGGGACCTCTTTTCTCCCCCTACCCAACTGGGGCCCCGGGTGCCACCTGCGGGAGCACAAAGGCAGTGAGCTTCTGTGAGAGTGTGAGTCTGAGAAAGCGTTCTTAAGGCTGTGGTGAGTCATTCCGCTGTCCCATCAGGCAATGAGAACTAGCCGGGTGCCTGTGTGTGACAAGTGTGACAAGAGCAGGTACATGGGCATGTGTCTGCCCAAAGGCAGTCACAGGCTCTAGATTGTAAACCAAGGCTTCTTGGACCCACGGGCCTGGAACCCTGGGATCCTTGCTTGTCTGGAGGGGATACTATGCATTTCTACTCTGCTTCTGGGCAGGTGCTGAGGCCCGGAGTGGGGTGAGGCCATGTGCAGGGCATGTGGCAGGCAGCAGGGACAGACATCTCACCTGGGGCTGGAGTCAGGCCAACTCAGCATAGGCCAGCACCTAGGGAATGACCATGGTCCGACAGAGAACCTGGTGATGAAGTCCATCTTCAGCCACTGCACAGAGTAGTGGGACAGCCAGGCGGGGACAGGCAGCTTTCTCTGCAGGGCCGCAGGGGGGCAGCAGAGGCCTGGCTGGGCCACGCAGGCGCCTGAGCCAGCACCTTCACGGAAGAGGGCGTGCCTGGGTGAGTGAGGGTGCAACACAGACCAGCAGTCAGGGTCCAGGCTTCAGAGAACCTAGTGGGGGGGGGGCGGTCCAGGGGCATCAGGAGAGGCACAATCTGTCTCCCCTCCAGGGGGTCTGAGCCAGACGGTTAAATCCAGCCCCCTTGCTAGTCTGAGGGAGGAAGCCAACAACCAAAGGTGGAGTGTCCCCTCCTCTCTGCTCACTGCTCCCCCTGAACACCCCCTACCCAAACCCTAGGCGCCTTCTCTCCCTCCATCAACATTGGCCGGGAGGAATATGAGAAACGATTTTTCAATGAGAAGGCTAAACGCTAATTAGACTCCAGGTTTCTCCTCCCAGGAGAATTTGTTTGCTTTTTTTTTTTGTTTCCCTCCCCAGGGAATTTAACGGGGAGCAGTGCAGAGAGAAGCAGGGTCCAGGGGGCACCCTTGTCTGGCTGGCGGGGTGTGGGGGGGGACTGGAGGCCCGGAGGGACCAGAGGCTTCCCCAAGCGCTCACCATGGGGGGCTCCACCCAGTGAGGGACACTGCAGTGCTGGAGGGGGGGTGTCTCCCATCCTGAGACTGCGTTTTACTCAGCCGCCATCTGTGGCATTCGCATCCCTAGAGGGGTCCCAGGGCTTCTAGCTGGTTCTGGGAGAAGGCCAGAGGCTCCTCGATTAACTCAGGGTGCGCAGCATCCTCTGGGATCTTGGCGCCTGCCGCGCAAAGCCGGCCCCAGACCCCCCTCACTCCGGGACCCCGAGCCTGCTCTGGACAGAACCCGGCCCCCACCCCCAAAACTGCTTGCCGGAACCCTGGGGTATAAGGTGGGGACCCCTCGCGGGCTAAGGGTCCGCGGCCGGCAGGCGCCAGCAAGGCCGCGGGGACCTGGGCGGCCACGCGGTGGCTGGGGAAAGGGGGTCCCAGGGAGGCGCCCGCACCCTCGGACTCCGGGCAGCTCCTCCAGTCAGCTGCCCCCTAGCGACCCCGGTCTGTCCGCAGCAGCGCGCTCACCCCGCCCCGGGGCCCGCCGCCCGCCGCGGATTCACCGGGCGCCGCCGTGCCGAGTTGCTGCCTCAGAGTCCGCAGGACCTGCAAGGGAGGGGGAGTGAGGGGCGGGGCCTGGCGTCGCGTGACCTTGGGGTGGGGGTGGGGTGGCGCGGGGCGGGGCCGGGGTCCGGGGCGGGGCCAGGGTGGGGCCCGGCGTGAATGTGACAGCAGGTGAGACCTGGGACATACAGATGTCCAACTGACCCATCATTATTTATTGAAAGAACCGTCTTTCCTCCACCGCTCTGTGGGGCCACGTTTGTCACAAAACATATGTCCCTGTGTGTGTGTGCATGAGCTGGTTCAGGCCTCTGCATTGGGTCCAGAGGTCAAAAAATTTGGTTCTTTGTGCCCATATCACATAGTCTCAGTAACTTTAGTTGTACAGTAGTCTTGGTATCAGTAAAAGACGTTCTGTCTTTTTTTCCTCTGCAAGATTATCTTAGCTGTTCTTGACCTTTTGCATTTGCATATTAATTCTAGAATCTTTTTTCAGGTCCCTCATGCAACAACAACAACAACAAAAGATCTGTTGGTTTTGGATTGGAATGGAAGTGAGTCTACAGATCCATTTGGGGATATTTGCTTTCTTGACAATATTGAGCATTCCATCCCCCTACCTCACACCACACACACAAATCACTCCCTGGTGGTCTGTAGATCTAAATGTGAAAGGCAAAACAACAAAGCTTCTAGCAGCCAATAGCAAACACAATCTTCATAACTTTGAGGTAGAAAAAGATTTCTTAAACAAGGTAAAAGGCACTATCCATAAAGGAAAACACTGATATATTTCATTACACAGAAATCATAAGAACTTCTCTTCATTAAAAGACACCATTAAGAGAGTGAAAAGTCAAGCCGCAAAGTGGGAGCAGATATTTTCGACATGCGTAACTAACTATGGGCTCCTATCCAGAATTTACAAAGAACTTGTACAAATCACCAAGTTAAAGACAGATAACCCAACCAAAGAAAGAAACTGGGACAGACATTAACACAAGAGTATGTTTAGAGAGCCAATCAAGTCATTAAAAGGTGCTCAGCCTACTTAGAAATCCAGGGCCTGCCCATTAACACTGCAAGGAGAGGCCACTGCACTGACATTATGAAGACTGATCATCCCAAGTGCTAGTGAGAATGTGGAGCAACTAGACATCGAATACGCTGCTGGGAGGAGTGTAAATTGGTACAAACACTTGGAAAACTTGTGTGGCATTGTGTACTAAAGCTGAATATATACCCTCCCCACGAGCAGCATTTCCACCCCTAGGTATCCATCCAACAGAACATCCATTTCTGACCTTTCTTTATAGATGAGACCTTTGAGACGGGAGAGGTTGAGAAAGTCATCTGTGTCGTGGGGCACGTGGGAGGCAGAACTGGGGATCTGAGGAGCCCCTCTGTGTGAGGGGCCCCTCTGGGTATTGCGCTGTATGGGGCCTTGCTCCAAAGCTCTTCCCACAAACCCTGCAGAAACCCTCACTTCCTTCCAGGGGACAGTTGCCGGTCATATAGGGCCCTGCTAAAACTGGGACACAGGTCCCAGAGGCAACGGGACACGTCCTAATGTGGCTTCACCCCTTTCCCTCCTAATCCCAAAGCGTATTTATATCATCGTGAGAGAGACTGAGAAGAATATGTCATAAACTAATCCCTTTCTAATTTATATTTTTTAGATAGTAAAAATCTGATGCCTAACACAAATATGCATACATCTTCACAAAACTACACCTACTAGAATGCGCTGCTTGTAATAGCCCCAAATTGGAGACAACTCAGATGTCCCTCACTGGAAGTACGGATCAACAGTGTTGTAGTCACGCAACAGAACACTATCCACATGAGAATGGATGAACTCCTGCTTCCATGACCACGTGGACGGGTGTCACACACGTGCTGTCAACAAAGAGGCCAGACCTAGAGACGCTGTCTGCGCCGTTTATATCAAGTTCAAAACTGCAAAATGAACCAGGCAGCTGGGAGTGAGAAGAGTGGTTACACTTGGTGGGAGATTGTTGCTGGAAGGGGGCTGGTGGGGGGTGGGGGCTGATAATGCTCCTTTTGTTGGTCTGGGTGCTGGTTCCATGGGTGTGTTCTTTGTGAAATGCATGAACTGTACACTTCTTATTTTTACCTTTATGGATATATGTTACACTCCAATTAGAATGTTTTTTAATGTAAAAATTTGAAAATTCTAGTATTTCAACCTCTATTAGTGATGCCTATGCACCATCAAGGATCAAGCCACATAATAAAAATGGTAAACGTAGGCCTCTAAATTAGCATCCTTTCCTAAGACTTGACCTTGAGCACACCAGCTGAAACCAGCTTGCACTTCGGGCTCACTGAATGGGCGATTGTCGCCATAGGACCCGGCCAGGGTGGAGACAAGGGCCATTGCTCAGGACATCTGATCCAGAGAGGCTGGCAAACCTCCCAAATTATCCGACTTGGCAGTTTCCTGGGATCAAATGACCCAGGTAATGGTCAGATTGCCATAGTGCCACCATACCTCCCAGCCCAAATACCCACAGGGTGGGCCCTTTCCCTGGGCCCATATTTATGGGCAAAGAGGACAGGGGCCTGTGCCACCTCTGGGTCTAATTTCTGCGTGAGGAGCTGTGGGAGATCTTTGAGAGTCTGCAGAGACCACAGAAAGGTAAGACCACTCTGGACCCCTGTGGGGCTCTAGCAGGCCCCCTCTCAGTCCTGCCCTGGGGCTCCCGAGTCCTCCCCATGACACAGCTCTGAGCCGTTGGGCATGGATTATCTCATTTAATCCAATAGCCCTAGGAAGCAGGTAACATCATCATTCCCATTTTGCAGGAAAGGAAACTGAAGCACAGAAGGGTTCAATGAGTCACCCAGGTGTGAACACCAGAAAGGAGTGGAGTCATTTATTTTTGAAATGATTCTCTTACCAGCCATGCCCGCTCGCATCATTGCTTCCTCCAGGAGCACTGTCTCTATCTCTTACACTAGCTACCCCTGCATCAGGCCTCCATGTGACCCTCACTTCCGCAGGATGCTCAGTGAGTTTGTTACTGCCCAACGTGGGGCCTTCTGCTTGCCACAAGACATGCCAATAGTGAAGAGGCAAGGTGGTAGGAGAAAAAGGACTTTTTTTATTACAGCTTGCTAGCAAGAGGGAAGATGGCCGACTAATGTCTGAAAAAAACCATCTTAAAGGGGCACAAAATCTTACAGCAATTACATAGGCTGGTGGGTTATTGGGAAGGGCGTTAGGAATGTTGACTTTCTGGTGTTACAGACTGGGAGTGCCACACCAGATCTTTCAGTTTTCACTGATGATGGCTATCAGCATAGACTCTCTGTTCATGGGTCATCACATTCCTAAGGAACTCAAAAGAACAAAGTTGTCATCTTATCGCAGCTGGGAGGTACGTGCACAAGCAGGGGTTGTTGTAAAATCTACAGAGCAGTTAGATCTCCTGGAGGGTGCATGTCCAGTTGGGTTAGTTTGTCAGAGGTCTTTCAAAGTTACAAAAGTGTTTCTTTTCTACAATGGCTTCCCTCATATCAACCTTGTCTTAAGCCTGTATCAAGTTCAGGTCCTCCATGAAGCAGGCACTGAGATGGAATTAGAAGTGCACAGGATTAACTGGAGGAAACCTCTGTGGAGGTTAAAGAGGGAGGGAGCAGGACTGAGCAGGCAGAGCGTTCAGACTATGAAGCGGGTCTGACACCTGGGAAGGAGAGGGGGAAGGGAGAAGAACCATGCAGAAGGAGCCTCAGAGCACAGCACAGC